TGCTCCTCCTCCTCTCTCCTCCTCCTCCTCCTCCTCCTCCTCCTCCTCCTCCTCTCCTCCTCCTCCTCCTCCTCCTCCTCCTCCTCCTCCTCCTCCTCCTCCTCCTCCCTCTCCAGAAGGCAAGCAAGGATCCCAAAATGCAAGCACTGTTTGGAGGCTCGGATGTTCGAAGGCCCTCGCGGATTTCTCGGATCGGCGCTGGGCTCCCCACGGCGGCGCATCCGGTGCGGCTCCTGGCGCGTTCCGCGCGTCAAGGAGGGGGATCCAGCGCCGATCCAAGACATCCGCGCGGAGTTGATGACGTTTTCTATGGAGATCCAGCGACCAGAAAAAAAAGAACCATGGTGATTGAAACAATCGCCGAACAGTTGGCCGACAGTACAGGAAGGTGAGGTCAGCCGCCGTCAGGGCAGCACGCGCCGTTTCGAAATGACAGTCGGGCGTCTTATAGGTGCGTGCACCCTTCGTCAGCTATACGAGTATACAACATGCGATAGAGGGTGGATCATGAGGGGAGGAGGAGGGGGGAGCGGGAGAAAGGGGGGGGAGGGGGGAAATGACCTCCCACCCTCTCGTCTTTTCATCCACGTGATCCTCCTACTCCTGCTCCTGCCCCTCATCCTCCTTCTCGTCTGTCTCTCCGCAAGCAGCTTGGCCTCTCCTCTTCTCGCGCTCCGAATTGGAGGATGATGATGTCGCGTTCGAGGGTGAGGACGAGGAGGTGCATTAGTCTGGGCTGCAAGGTGCCCCTTTTCCTGTCCGCGTCTCTTCTTAGGTTGTGCCCTCCCCCTGGTCGTAGAGGGGAAGGCAGAGCCAACAACTGAAATTTACAGCCTTACGGATTTTGTGTTTTGCACACGCGGAAAGGATATGAGCTTTAACACGATGGAATGTTGCACGCAAGTACACTGATTTATGTGGCAGATGTAATGCGAGCCCCAGCGGGGGTCGGATCCGAAGAATTGGACAACGTGGACGCACGACTGTTATCTTGCTCGTCCGCTCCCCCTGAGCATCCTCCTCCCCTGGTCCTTCTTCCTCGTCCTTCGCATGCCTCCTCCTTGCGCCCTGTCCGGGCTGTTCAATTCCACATTGCTGTGCAAGTGGCGCGCACAACACGCCGAACATCCGAACATCCCAATCGACCTCGCAACAACAGAGCACACGGGCGGAACTCCAGATCAACCCATCGCCTACGACCCCCAGCGGCGTTGCACTGACCCAGGGATCTAAACTCCTGATACAAGTCGAAACCACATGCCGATGTGACAGCGATACTGGACGGGGCACACTGCGTGGAGATATGTTCGATAATGAAACGGCATCGCTATCCTGAACGCCCCAGCACCATCATTTCTTGGCGGGCCCGGGCGGGGCCTCGCCAGCGAGGGCCATCAGCTCCGCAGTCACTGTCTCTGGCAAATCGGCCCTCTTGTTCAGCAGCAGGAACAGAGCGTTCCCCTCTTCCTTCTTCTTCGTCATATTGCCAAGCAGCACCGAGAGGGCAGCGATGGTCGCGACCACCCTCCGAGCCTCGTTGTAAATGCTCTCGAAGGTATCGATGGCCTCTTGCACTGGAGTGTCCTCGTTGATCGGGGGCGCGATGGACCAGTGCTTGTGAAGGAAACCGAGATTATCCAAGTAGGTGTGCACCTTCGGAACGCCATCGTGTAAAAAGTCCAGGTGCTCATAGTTAAGCAGGTGCTTCTTGACCCAGGCCTCGTTGAACTTCGCGTTGCTCACGATGCTTGCAGTGGAGGGGTGAACTTCTGAACGACCATTGCGTAGGTTGTGGCAGAGTCGACGAACTTCAGGAAGATTTCCTTGGCGACCCAGTCGGTCGTGAGAACCGCGCGCTGCGAGAATGCCATCAGGGCGTGCATGTTAAGCCGCAACTGACTGTATAGCTCGGCGGGTTGATCGCCGTCCCTCTCCAGCTTCTCCACGGACTCCACCGTAGCTGAACGGAGCATATCCACGCACCTCTTGACCTCGGGCTTGATGTCCACGCCCTTCGCTACTGCATCTGGCCCAGCCGCAGACCCGGGCTGGACGTGGACATGGTTGGCCGCGTGGGCGAAGCAGGCCGTGATTTGATGGATGTCCGCCCGCAGCGTTGCGAGGTCGCGCCAAGCCCCCTGTGGAACAGAGCAAGAGACCGTTGCCTCACCATCGGACGTCGCGGTGTCGATCTGGATGGTGGTCTTCTCGTCGTCGCCGCGCGCGACGCTAGTGCGCCGCGCGGCGTCCAGCAGCTTGTCGCGCGCCCACCCGGCTTTGCCAGAAGAAGGAGCCTTGGCAGTCTCACTCGACTGCTGCACGGAAGCCATCAGCGTAGAAACGTTCGGGGCCCAACGGCAGCCACGTGGTACTCGAGGGTGGCGGGTCGGAAGGCATCTGGGCGCCTGCGTGGTTGGGGGAAGTCATGAACTGCTGAACTATGATGCGACGAGTCGGTTCAGCTTTCACGGCGTAGCTGACGATGGTATCGGACTGAATGCACAACGCCAGACCCTGCAGAGCTTCGGGCGTGGAACTCAAGAACGAACGATCCTGGCCGACACTGACCTCGATGACGATGTCGGGGTTGCCGCTCAGGTCGCAACATCCGTGCACGGTGATGTTGCCCAGGGCCTTGAGCAAGCATCACATTGATGCTGCCTTGGCCAGGACTGTCGCATCGTGCTCCCCCTGATCAACCACGCCGATCCACTGCGCCACAGCCGCGGCAGGATTGAGGAGCTGATCGAAAGACCCTGCGCCGTCAATGAGTCTAGCAATCTTCCGGCGGGTCTCTATGTTATGCTCGATGGCGCGGAAGATGTTGCCAATGTCCTCCAGCTTCGTCATCGAGCTCCTCTGGCCTGGTATCAATGAGGCAATGATGCGATTGGCTCCGGTCGCAGTCTGCTTGAATGCAACTTCATCCAGGAGGCGTTCTTTCATCCTTCGAGCGGCCGTGCTGTACTGGTAAGCATCGATGGGGTCTTGGGTATCGCCGCGGCCGTCAGGTGCAGGAGTCAAGAACGCATTCCAGCAAGCGCAGAAGTAGGTGGAACAGATGACGTCGACGACTGCAAGTCGCTTGGGTAAGCCCTCAAGCCGCTGCTCTGCGGGGCGGGCCTGCTCCTCGAGCTTGCGCTTCTCCCATGACTTCATGGCCTCCCTGATGTGTTTGACGCTGTCTTCCAACGCGCTGGACATATATCCGGTCCTGATCAAGTCGAACTTAGTGGCCGATACCGTCTCCAGCCCAGCTTCCACGGGCATTAAGGCTGGCATCTCGACAGCGGCATCAACGATCGCTCGGGCACGCTTGAGCTTCTTCTCGCCGATGTCGTCGCGAGCCGAGGTAGACATCGCACTCTGGGCATTCGACGTGAGGTCGCTGCCAACGCAGTTGAAGCGCAGCGCCTGCAAGATGTCGTTCATGCTGCTGTCTGAGCTGATGGCGTCCAGCCCTGCGCCCGCGGCCTTGGCAGACACCTTGTCAGCGTCGACGGTCGCTTGGGAGATCGAGCGAAGGTGCTGGAGACAGTCCAGCGCGTCGCCGAGGAACTTCATGAACGCGGGGTGCACTATGTCGACCACCCTGGCCACAGACCCAAGCAAACCGTTGACAAAGTTCAGCGTCTTCTCCTCGTCTTCGGGGGTGCACTCGAACCTGTGCAGCTCGTCAGCGAAGGCCTTGGTCAGCACGCTGCTGAGCCAATCGTTGACGGATGCGTCGGTCCGCGGCGGCAGGCGGCCACGCGAATCACGCATGCCATTTTGAATCATGTTGCCGAGAGCCACGTCCACAGGGAGCTTGCGGGCCTCCACGTCGTAGAAGAATAACACTTTGGGCCAAAACAACAGCAGCGTAAAATCTGGCCCCCCCCCGCGAGCTCCACCTTGACCAGGAACCGAACGGTCTCATCGATGTTCCCGAACAGGCCCAACAGTTTAAACTGCTTCCTGTTTGGATTGCTGAACTCCCTGTGTACTTCAAGGGGGTTCTTGATGCTGGCGACGCCTCTAGACCACTCAGCAGCCAGGCCACCCGCCGTCTTGTCACCAATGAAATTCGATTCAGCAAGCGCGTTGTTGATCGAACTTGAGATCCTCGTGAATGCCGCCTCCCTGAGCTCTTCCCAACTGGGCGTGGTAAATTTATTGAGCAATGAGGTGTCTGTGGCCACGTGGTCCTCAACCTTCTCGACCATCCTCGACGGCTTCGACTGCTGCGCCTTCTGGCCATCATCCAGATCTCCAGGCCCTGGCAGCGCCGAGGCCGGCCTCAAGCCCTCCGTCTTGACGGTAATGGCGGTGCCGCTCTCCCCGTAGTCGTCTTCCATGGCGTTAAGGTCCTCCGTCGAGCCTCCCGGCGCCAGCCTGCAAGGCAACATGCGCTGCGTCGTGGTGCAGTGGGGCCGCTCTACAACTCGGCCCAAGGACTCGCTCGGCTTGACCATCGCGCCGAGCTCGCACTTAGAGTTCGGGCCCAAGATCGTGATCAGCGGGCGGGGTCGGCCACGTCCGCGGGCCCGCCTTTGGCCAGGAAGTCAGTGAAGCGATCAATGTGGAAGGGCCCGATGGGGGCGCCGAGCAGCTTGAAAACGAACTGGGGCACCTTGACACGCTCCTGCACCACGCCCAAGGGTATTTGCGGCACTCCTTCGTGCTGCAAGCTAAGGAAGGCGACGTACGTAAGTTCCCCGGTCTCCCAGTTGCGCAGCACCCATATCAAAAATACGGGAAGCGTGTAGTCGGACCTGAAGCACGTCCTCCAGCAGGTGTGGCAGTCCTTGCACCAAGCCCCACGGCCGTTTGGCAGCGCCCACGGCAGTACGTTGCTGGGGTCGTGCCAGCATCGCAACGCGCCGTACTTGCACTGGCAGCCAATGCAAGGCTTCTTGTCAACAGGTCCCGATGATGAGCCAGAACCCGCTGCCCCAGATGAGATGCCCTCATCATCGTCATCATGGCCGTGCCCGGCTGTGGCTTTGCCGAACGCACATCCCATCTCCTGCGATGCCGCCTCGCAACGAAACGACGCCGACGAATAACCGCTGGTGGGAGTGCCAAGTTGGACGGCACGGCCAGATTTGTCGCGGGGCCTCTTGCTGATCCACGGCGCCGGTGTCTGCACTTCGTCCTGCTGCGGGCCGACGGCTCATAGGGCTTGTGTGCCTTAGATCGCTTAGAGGGCATATAGATCTTGAAGGGCTTTAATTACTCATGTGGCGCATTTGCCTTAGAGGGCTTCTCGGGGTCATAGGGCGAATGGGGCGTATAGGGCCTGCAGCGCCCATGCGGCTTACTTGGCTTGAAGGGAACATGGGGCTACGAGAGCGCGTGGGACTTATGGGGCCCACAAGTATTGCAGGGGTTTGAAGAGCTTGCTGTGCTCACAGGGCACATGTATCTTATCAGGCTTATGTTGCTTTCATGGGTTAGGAAACGCTTATTGCTTTTATGGCAAACATGGCTAATGCGGCTTATCAGATTGAGGGAGCCGGACGGTCTTACAGGGTCCTTGGGTGCGTGGCTGCAGCGTGGCTCCGCGATGAGGATTATGCTCTTTGTTGTCGTCGTCGTCACAGCGGGTGGGTCGCGGCACGGACGCGTCGCAACGCGGGCGGGTCGCGGCGCGGGTGGTCGCAAGTTGTTCACGGCGCCGATGGGTAGCGATTGGGTCGCGGGGCGGGTGGGTCGTTCGGCCCCCTCAGTGATTATTGCCGGGGCTCTCTCGGAGCTGGTTCGGGGCCCTCTCGGAGCCGTCTGAAGGCCCAAGGAAAGGGCCCAGGAGGGCCCCAAGACGGCCCCAAGAGGGCTCTGAGATGGCCCCAAGCTCGGTCACGCGATGGGGGGCTTCGCATGACCGCTCTCGGGGGCCTCTTGGAAGCGCCTCGGGGCCCTCGCGGGCCCTTCCCAAGGTCTTCAGGCGAGCCCAGGAGGGCCTCGAGACGGCCCCAAGAGGGCCCCCAGAGGGCCCCAAGATCGGTCACACCGCCCCCGCGAGCGTTTTCAAGCGGGCCCCAAGAGCCCCCCCCCCACTCCCCACCCACAGAAGCACACTCGTGGATATAAGGTGCGCCTCTTTTGGGGTCCTTCTTTGAATCCTGTCGGGGCCTTCCGGGGCTCTCTGGGGCCTGCTTCGGGGGCCCCCCGAAGCCCACCGCGGCCCCGAAGAGGGCCCCCGAGCGTCCAACTGGGCCCCCCCTGAGGGTTCCGAAGGGGGCCCCACGAGGCCACCCAAAAGAAAGCACCATCGTGGATCTACGTCATGCCTTTTTGGCGTCCCTCTTCGAACCCTGTCGGTGCCCTCTTGGGGCTTCCTAGGGGCCCCGAGATCGGTCGCGCGAGAGAGGCTTCGCGTGGCCTCGCTTGGAAATAGTTTTGGGCCGTCACGGGGCTTTCCTGGGCCGCTCCAAGAGCCCTGGGAAAAAAAGCCCAAGAGGGTCGATGGGGCCTGGGAAGGGCTTGTTTATGTCATAGGGGCCGATGGGTCGCGGGCGGCTCGCGCGGCGGGCGGGTCGCGGGCGGGTCGGTCGCAGGCATTGCGCCCGCCCGCCCGCGCCAATTGCGGTGTGCCATGCACGTGCTTGTTGAGCTGGTCGGGCCAGCCTGCGCCCCTCGTGTTCGGGGTGGCGGAAGGCAGCCAATTCAACGGCCATGCGACCCGGTGAAATAGAATGCATTTGGAAAAATTCGCACCGTTCGTCGGCCAACAGAGCTCGGGTGGTTCCTGAGATCCCCCCGCCGCGCTGGATTCTAGAGCCAAAGACTCTCTCGGGGGCAGCTGGCCAATGGGTGCGCCGGAAACGCCTCTCCACAATCCTCGAAGCCATCGCCAGGGGTACCTTTACCCCATGCACCTTACGCTCCGCTACGGAGCGCTGGCAAAGCAACCTTGCGGCGTCGCGTTCACAGCCGAAGACGCGGACCTGCGCAATCCAATATGGAGCACGTTGCTGTTGGCACGCATGGGCATCGTGAGCCGCGTCGGCCAAAGGGAGGATTACGATTTGTTTAACACCATGTTGATCAATTCCGCGTTCTTCGGCCCATTGGTCGCGGTAGTAGATGTTTGCGTTTTGCTTTTGGTTGGTTCTGGCAACGACTTCGAGAAGGGTCGCGATGGGTGCTTCAAGAGGGGCTGGGCTCACCACTGCCCCAGGAGAGCCCAAGAGGGTTCCAGAACGGACTCGGTAAAGCCGCCGAAGGGTTGCAGAGGCACGGATGCGACTTCGATGGTGTCCCAGTCCTTCTGTGTTGGCTTCGCATCTTGGGTAGAGCACTGATGCCGTCTCATCGTTCCTCCCGCCCCCCTCCTGCTTCCTGCCCCTGTCTTCTACATCGCGTGCAACCTCCTGCTCGCGTTTTCCCAACCTTCCTGCATTGGGATCTCGCTTTGAATAGCGCACTGCTGCCGCTTCCTGCTTCCTCCCCACCCTTTTAACGCCTTTGTCGCCCCGTTGGGAGGGGCGGCCAGTGGCCGACCCCGCCCAGTCAGACAGAGAAGTGACACGCAAAGGGAATGTAATAACCACCTCGAGGTGTCTCTTGAGGGCATGCGCGGCCGCCTCGAAATCTGAAAGACCCCCACCCATCCCCCGCTTTAAAACTCTTCCCCGCCCGTCAAGGGGGCCCGTTTTAGCGCCCCCCCCCCCCCCCCCCCCCCCCCTCGATCGCATGA